GAAAAGACACGGCTGCTTTGAAGAGTTGAATATCGATGCTACATTCATGCTTCCAAGTGCTCTGAAGCTCTATTTTGGATTCTACAACCCCGTCCGCTAGGTCTCAGAAGCTTAGGTGTTCATGTTCCCGTTGGAGGCGAGGGTTGGAAATATTATATGAATTTCATCCCGACTGAAAGCTTTCATTTATTAGTGGACACGGGACTCCGCGAAACGACTTGAAAGAAAGAGGCTTGGCGTGGACAGCCTGTTCCTCATCAGGCTGTGGAAAGCGGTGTGTCCAGCCTCTTTTTGATGGAGCTTGTTCTCCTCGCCAAGCCGAGTGTGTGAAAAAGCCAAGTGTGCTGGCTGCACCAGCAGGCTTTCCCACCGAGACTTGAGCCTGGACTCTTCTTTCACCATCCTGGCCACGTTGACCCTTCATGCCTTGATGGGCAGTTCCCATAGCGATGGATTAAGAATGGGGAGGGTAGATGGCATTGTTCCCCTGCGAAGGCCTGAAACTATTGTCTTGCAAAACTTGGATGGTTGAGAGGCCCAAGTTTCTTTCTTCCTGGGAAGCCGCCTTTTTCATTCCCACCCTTCTCTGGCAAGCTCCGCTCCCTGCCTTACTGAGTAAATTGCTTTCTTATTCAGTAGAATCTATTTATTTCTCTTTCTTATCTTTCGATCATTAACGTAACCCTGACTGAGTGGATGGGTTTGCACAACACCAGTTCTTGACTTACAACCATTCATTTAGTAACAGTTTAAAGTTGCAATGGCACTAAAAAAAAGTCACTTATTACCAGTCCTCACATGACCACTGCAACAGTGGTGGTATTCAGCAGGTTCTGACCAGTTCTGGAGAACTGGTAGCGGGAATTTTGAGTAGTTCGGAGAACCAGCAAATCCCACCTCTGACTGGCCCCACCCCCATCTATGCTCTGCCTCCCGAGTCCCAGCTGATTGGCTGGGTCTTCTTTCGTTGCCCTGCGCAGGAGAACGGAGCTGGAAAGCAGGTTAGTGGGGTGGGGGAATGGGATTTTGCAGTATCCTTCCCCCAGGAGTAGGGAGGGAATGGGGATTTTACAGTATTCGTCCCCTGCCACGCCCACCAAGCCACGCCCACAGAACTGGTAGTAAACATTTTTGAATCCCACCACTGCACTACAACATCCCCGTAGTCATGTGACCAAAATTCAGGTGCTGCATTTGCCGTGGTTGCAAGGTCCTGGGATCATATGATCTCCCTTTGTGACCTTCCCAGCTGGCTTTCAACAAGCAATGTCAACAAGGAAAGCCGGATTTGTTTAATGACCAGGTAATTCACTTAACTTGCCGTGATTCACTTAACAACTGTGGGAAAAACAGGTCATCAAATTAGGTGTGACTCGCTTAAGGACCTTGCTTAGCAGTGGGAATTCTGTTCCTAACTGTGGTTATAAGTTGAAGACTATGTGTACCAAACCAGAATGAAATGAGGTTAGGTAGTTTCTGATTCGGTGAGTCATGTGAATCCAAGCATTGTCATAACATATTGTGTGAACTAAGCCATCAGAACAGGGTAGGGATTATCAAACTTTAAACCCCTTTAAAGGAAAATGAGTTGAGTGTGACTCTTTTCATGAATAGGAGACATGATTTCATTGGGGCTAGAGCTGGCCAAGAAATAAGCATATCAGATAGTTCTAATAATAATTTTAAAAAATAGTTTTTGTGTTCTCAAACTTTGAAGTACTACAGTAGGGAAAGTTGAGGGCAAAGCCCCAAATGAGTTTTGACAATGCTGCTGCAAGCCAATTCTTTTTAATTGTGCCCCCCCTAAATTGTTTGAAATTCCCAGGATAAGTGTGTGTCATGACCCACTTTTTAAGAATGCAGTCATGATCCTATATTAGAGCAACTTTTCAGACACAGCATGCTATGTAGACGGAGCTTTTTTGTTGCTTTATTGTATTCAGTTTATTATATAAATCCAACCATTGTGTTCAACCATTTGAGGTCCCATTCAACCATTTTGTGACTCTCAAGATGTTTGACTTCAGTTCCCATCAGCCTTAGCTGGCAGAGTCAAAGTTGGGGGAGGGATTGGGATCAGTAGATATGCAGCAAGACCACTCCGTTTTATTCTTATTTTCATTAGTTCTGTAAAGTTTGGTTTAATCTGCAAAGATTAACTGGTGGCTAGTTGAGTCTAGATTTTATTTGCTTTTATCCTTCCTGTTTACACGAGAAGTTTAGATTTTATTAGTGGAATGCATGTAGTTTGAAAGAGAGAAAAAGTACAGTATCTTGTAGCCAGCAGAAAAACAAAAACAAAAATGAGTTGATGAGTTTTATCTACTTATATATTTATTACATTTTTTAACCTGCCTTTATTATTTTATAAGTAACTCAAGGTGACAAACATACATCATACTTCTTCCTCTTCTTCCTTTCCCCACAACAACAGTCCTGAGAGGTGGGTTGGGCTGACTGGCCCAAAGTCACCTAACTTAATTCTGGTTTAATTGGGTTTGTTTTATTATTTTTATTGGTTTTTTTTTATCCTGCCTTTATCTATATACAGTATATAAAAGCGAAATACCACTCATGCATCATCACAAAATCTCCAGAACCGTAAAGCCTACAAGCTTGAAATTTGGCGCATATGTTCTTCTTGGCTTCTAGGTGCTTGCTAAGAAAGGATTTTTTGAAATGACCATGAGAGCATTAGTATTTTGTATATTATTATTAACACGCTCTGATGCTAAGGAGTTCTACTTCCCCTCCTCCCCACCTGGAAAGAGATCTGTTCCAAATGCGAAACACAAGCAGAGGAGATTCCTTTTTTACTTTCACAGCAGCAACTGGCTTTAATACAGAACAGTTGAGCTAAGCCATCCCAGGCTCCTTGCCGTCTCCTTCTTGCTCAAATAGCAAATACTGTTTCAGTTTCCAAACAGCCCTCAACTGTCTCACACACCGACAGGACGCTAGCCAGATGAATACCGGTGGATGCTGGTAGGCGGAGGCAGAATTTCCCCCCCTTATTTTCCTCCCCGAAACTACACAGTTTCGTAGCGAAGCACAGGTATCGAGCTAGTTACTTTATAAGTAAAGTACTTATTACTTTGTAAGTGAACATACATAATACTCCTCCCCTTATTTTGTCTGCAGCAACAATCCTGTGAGGTAGATTGGGCTGAGAGAGAATGATTGGCCCAAAATCACCCAGCTAGAGGGAAAACTGGAACTCACAGTCTCCTGACTTCTAGGCCAGCACCTTAACCACTACTCCAAATGATTCTTTTGCATCATTGCCCCACTCTTTCTAAAAATTGAGTGTGAAATTATTATGTGATTTTTCCCCCCAGGGACCATCCAATCCTTCATTTAGAATAAATAAAATATACCTATAGGAAGTCCTCGATTTAGACCACAATTGAGTCCAAAATTTCTGTTGCTAAGTGAGATAGCTTTAAGCGAGTTTTGCCCCATTATACCACATTTCTTGCCACGGTCGTTAAGGGAATCACAGCAGTTGTTACAGTTAGTGGTACAGTTGTTAAGTGAAACTGGCTTCCCCATTGACTTTGCTTGTTAGAAGGTCACAAAAGGGGATCATGTGACCCCAAGACACTGCAACAGTTATAAATATGAATCTGTGATGACCTGGGGCGTTACACAAAAATAACAAAGTTACAAAAGTAGAATAAATTCCCTTTCATGCCTCCAACTTGGCTCCAATGTCCAATTATCCTCGGCTGGATATAAACTCTTCAAAAAACAGTCTACGAATGGCAGAAATGCAGTCCGAGCCCAAAGTAAAGATAATTAGAAATAAAAAACCCAACACAAACCACACTGAGGTAATTAACACGGCAGGCCAGGATGATAAATTGCAGACTTTCAACGGATAACACAGCACCCACACTTTGGAGAATGCCAAAACCCAAATAAGCCTCGACCAAGAAAATGCATGCTTTGCTTCCAGCAAAGAGCTGAGTAAAAGCCCCACTTATATCCTGTTCTCCCAGCTGCAACTAATGAAAGGGATCAGGGCCTTTTTCTCCCCTGTAAGCCACATTGCTCCCTTCTCCGTTCCTCCCTGCATGCCCTAGGATGAAGAGGGGATGGCCCTGGGTCTTCCTCTGAATGCCCAGCTGGACTATGCCCTTCCCTGTTTCTTCCACAGCCACCGGAGCCACACTCCCACTCCCTGTCAGCTGCTCAATCTCTCGCTCAGAATCAGACTCCAACAAGGGCATGACAGAATCAGTTCTTAAGCATCTGAATTTTGATCATATGACCATGGGGATACTGCAACCGTCGTAAGTGTGAAAAATGGTCATAAGTCACTTTTTTCAGTGCTGTTGTCACTAAATGAATTGTAAGGCAAGGACTACCTGAAGTATACCACACACCCTTCCAAAAGAAAATGTGCAAATTACAATAATTGACATATGAATGTGCTTCAGATTTTGTTTTTAATCTCTCTAACTCCATGTGGAACTAATTACAAGATGCGCACATTAGTAGTTGAGAATAGGCGGTAAATTTGTGATTCTGACTTTTTCAGGGGGGAAAAAAAGCTGTGTATGGTTTGACAATTACTCTTTTCCTATTGATTATTTTGCTCCGATACGTGGAGGACGTGGTTAGATTTGAATGTTATAATCTGTTTGAATTACTGCTGCAAGATAAGAATTGCACGTGGTATGGCCTTAATCCTCCAGCTTTGAAAGAATTGTGCTTTAGGGCCTGGAGTATAGCAATAATAATTACGTTTATATCTAGTAAATTGTATTGATTACATTTATATTCTTCTTTCCTCTTAAAATGCCCAAAGGAGCTTTATCTCCAAGGAGATGACAGATAATATATAGAAATGTACGAATGAGCATAATCTCCTTTGTTTTTGGAAATGCAAAATAGAATATATATATAAAAAAATCAATCTCACACAGATACTTTATGTTATGAATTTAAAAAAAAAAACACCTTACCTCTGTCATCTTCTTTTTTGTAGGATAAGTATGATGCTTCTGGGAACCTTCCTTCTCCCTGTTCTGTGTTTCCTGGGGCCAACAATTCCACAGGAACTACAGTACCCCACCTTTTCGCACAATGCCACCAAATTTATTCACTTCATTATGGATCCCGATTCAGGAACTCTGTATCTGGGGGCTACAAACTTCCTTTTTCAATTGACTCCAGACCTGGTGATGGAAGAAGCCGTTTCCATGGGCCCGATCTTAGACAGCAAAGATTGCCTTCCTCCTGTTTTCAAGCAGGATTGTCCGCAAGCTCTGGAGACAGACAACTACATCAAACTCCTGCTCATCAACTCGCTAGAGAAAGAACTCATTGTTTGCGGCAGTGTGTGGCAAGGGATCTGTGAGAAGAGGACTCTCGGCTTCATTAAACATGTCCTCTTCCAACCCCAGACACCAGGAGACACTCAATATGTGGTCGCCAATGATCCCAATATTTCCACCGTGGGGCTGGTAGGTTACTCCAAAGAAAATGTGCCACTTCTCTTTGTTGGCCGAGGATACACCAGTCGGGGCGTTGGAGGAAGCATCCCTCCCATCACAACTCGCAATCTCAGGGCCCACCCAGGAGATGTGTCAGGGCCCAACTCCCACACCATCTTCTCCTACGAGGAAACAGCCAAGCTGGCTGTGGGTCGACTCTCCGAATACAGCCACCATTTTGTCAAGTCATTCACGCATGGCTCCAGTGTCTACTTCCTGTTCTACCGGCGTGATCTCAAGTCGCAGTCCCGGGAGTACAAGACGTACATTTCCCGGATCTGTCTGGACGATGCCCACTATTACTCCTATGTGGAGCTGCCCTTGGTCTGCAGGAACCACGAGAAGACTTATAGCCTCTTGCAGGCGGCCTACGTGGCACAGGCAGGGGTAGAAGGACAACCGGGAGATGCACTTTTTGTGACTTTTTCTGCCTGGCAGGCTTCTTTGGGGAAGCTGAGCGAGGAATCTGCACTCTGTGTTTATCCCATGGAGGAAGTAGATCGCTTCATAACTCAGACCAGGGACCTTTGTTATACCAGGGACGGGAAAATGGAGGATGGCAGGGAGGTGGCCTACATAGAATACGATGTCAGCTCTAGCTGCGTCCAGCTCTCAGCGGTAAGTGCACTTTTATTAAATTTCTACATCATCCATCTCACCTAAGTGACTCTGCGTGGTTTACGACATCACATTTATTGCAAGCGGATGTAAATCTATCCAGGGTGCACCAGAAGCCAGGGCCCATAAGCAATTTGTTAGATCAATTACGTTAAAGGTTTGAATGGATTGCCATTTTCTTCCAGTAAAGGCTTACCTACTTGTTTGACGCATGACCTTTGAATAACCTAAGATTTTCCCCAGAAAATAATAATAATAATAAAACATATTGGCCTTTGGGAATCTCACTTTGGGTACATCTTATGCATGTAATTCACATGGTTTTGGGTGGGATTCCCAGGCAATTTGCCATTTAGGGCTTCCCATAATTCCCAGTCATATTGTTTCCCAAGCTGATGATCCCTCATAACCTTTAAGAAGTTTGCTGGAGGAGACATGCCAGCAAACAAGGATGATGATGATGATGATTAGACTTCTGTCCCACCCACCCACCCATTCATTCATTTATTTTTCTTGGTCAACTCAAGTTGGCGAACATGTTATCTCCAAGGTATAACTTGGTACCAATTTGAAAGAATGAGGGGGGAAACCAAGGCCTTTATGGGCTGTGTGTTAAGCTGACCCAGACTAATCTAGCTTTATCAACATCATAACAGATTATGTGCTGTTAACCATTTCAGTCTGTACATAGGCTGGATTTTCCCTGCTGTCATGTCCACCTGTTCCTTCCATAATCTCACACAAGGAAAATGGGTGCTGGTGATTGCCCCTCCCATAAGGTATAAAGGACAGGCAAAGATGATGAAACCTTTGCAGGAAGCAAAGTAGTTTGATCGGTTCAGAGTCATTCTGGAAGCTTGGTTGGTTGTTTTTTTTTTGTACTTCGGTTGGTTTCTTCTCTAGTTCATTTGATACTTCTATTTTTGGCAGCACTTCACAGAACTGAAAGGTGTGCGCTTATCTCGGGAGACTGAATGAGATTAATTCCAGCTGGGAATGAAAACAATTCCCAGCGTTGCAATAAAATAAGTTGTTTTTAAAATAAGTGTGTGTGTGTCACTATGGTTTAGGAAGCCTGGGTCAGAACCACCGTTCAGCTTCACTGCCCCGTTGATTCCCAGAGGGAATTCATAGAGTCCTTTCAGTTGGGGAGACCAAATGGCAGCTGTCCAGTCAGCTCAGAATCAGTCACTCTTCACAGATAGATGCTGTGGGTCTAATTCAGCCCACGGTCGCTTCTGATCTAATTTATGAATGATCTGCTTTGTTGGTCCCAGAGAAAGACCAACTAAAGCTGGTACAGAGGTGAATGAAATCCAGAATTCTGTTTTTGCAACAGAAGTAATAGACGCCAACAGTATAAAACCATTCATCTTGTATTCCTGCGCATTTGGCACCGAGAAGGCTATTGGCTTTGATCCTGGAGGAGGTGTATAGCTATCACGAGTACTGACAGTTTTATGTCTATTAATTTTTATAATCCCCTTTTAAAACTGCCCAGGCTTCTGTGGTTTGACTTATGTCCCAAGTGAAAAGCTTACTCTTGCCTGTACTGAATGTCTCATAATTCAACTTCACTTGATAAGAGATGGAGAGAAGCTTGCCTGCCACAGGTTAAACATGAGCCAGAGCATAATGCAGTTGCTTAAAAGGCATATGTTATCTTAGGGCTCATGATGATCTGCACAGAGTCCAACTAATGGAAATTAATGGTTCTACTCTATTCTGCCCTGCTCAGATCCTATTTGGAACATCGTGTCCAATTTTGGGCACTGCAGTTGCTCATCTGTCAAAGATAGACTCTGTTGTGGTGTTTTTCAACCTTGGCCTCTTTGAAGTTGTGTGGAATTGGCTGGGGAATTCTGGGAGTTGAAGTCCACACATCTTAAAGAAGCCGAGATTGTAAAACACTGCTCTTACTGGTTCTGTCTAGAGCAGGGGTTAGATCAGATGACCTCTGGGGTTTCTCTGCCAACTCTATGATTCTGGTAGTCTATACCAGGGGTCTCCAACCCTGGCAACTTTAAGCCTGGTGGACTTCAAGGCTTAAATTTGCCAAGGTTGGAGACCCCTGCTCTATACCACCTCTCTGTGTACCCAAGTGTTTCTTTAAAAGGAAGTTGGGTACTTTAGTTGCATCCTTTTGTAGCTTTTCCAGTTTAATAGTATTAAATTTGAGGCCCAGAGTTAAGCAAGCTGAAGAGATGGATTTGTATGGAAGGGTTAGGATCACGGTCCTTGTGTTCTGGATTCGTTCCTTTTTTCATATAATCTTTACTGAAAGTTTTTACAGCAATAAGAATAAAATGCAAATTAAAATGGAACACGTCTTAAAGTTCCTCACCATTTTCCTATAGAAGACAGCTTCTCTTCATAGCGCTAGCCCGACATCTCAATAAGCTGGCTGTCATAACCCTAATATCCCTCCAGATGTGTTACTGTCATTTTACATCTCATCAGACGCAGGAGGAGAAGGTGCAGCACACAGTTTGCTATTTTTTGTTACTGGCCAGCTGGGAGAGAGAACAAACTGCCATTAACAACAGGAAACCAGAAGCCTTGTTCAGAATTGCCACCCAGGAAGAAACGGTGATCTTGCCTGATTTGAGAAGAGAGATTAAATTAAATTAAATTAAATTATTTCCTTGCATCTTCATTGGTCCTGATTTTCCTCTAGACCAGAGGCAGTTCTTTCTCAAATCCCTTGGCCTAGTCTTTCTTGAAGAGATACTTTCCTCCTAAACCTGGATTTTCCTAAATGAGACATGGGCATTTCATGGCCCCTGGACCATATCTGGCCCTTTGGGTGTCCCTGCCCAACTGAATCGGAAATCAGAAATCAGATGTAGGCCATGCATCCAATAGCAGCAATAGCACTTAGACTTATATACCACCTTACAGTGCTTTACAGCCTTCTCTAAGTGGTTTTCAGTCTCAGCCTATTGCCCCCGCAAACAATCTGGGTCCTCATTTTACCCACCTCGGAGGGATGGAAGGCTGAGTCAACCTTGAGCCTGGTGAGACTCGAACTGCCCAATTGCAGTCAGCCGGCAGTCAGCAGAAGTAGCCTGCAGTACTTCACTCGTAACTAACCTCTGTGCCACCGTGGCTCATGTACAACTGCATTGCTTTTATTTTGAAGGCGCTTGCTGATTTTTGTTTCCAATTAATGTATATGTGTGTGCAATGTGTGCCTTTGCACGTTCGTAGCCCTTTTGGTTTGGCCCTCCACAATAGCCCCGATTTGTCATGTGGCCCCTTGGGAAAATTAATTGCCCACTCCTGTCCTACATTGATTCTGAAAGTGCAAAAAAAAATATTCCAATATTCAGCTGTATACGGAGGAAGATCATTCACAAGGCGCATCTTTTAATTGACTTGGATAGATCCTGCCTTCACTGTGACGCTTTTTGCACATCACAGACAACATTTAATTTTGTAATTGCTGTTGTAGCAGTACTAAACAGAAATGCGTACCATCATAATTAACTTTGCTGCACAAGAGAATAATAGGTAATTTAAACTCTGCGTGGGTTGTTTTATTTTTCCTGCTATAAATTGAACCTCTAAATTGTTGTTTCATATGCCCTAATCACATACTTCAGAAATAATTAACTCTCCTCCTCTCTCAATACACACAAACACTTTTGGTAGTCACCGAAACGTAAATGTTTGCGGAGGGAGATGTTTGTAGCTTGAATATGATTTTCTACCATATTAATATAGAGCATCTATTTGGACAGTGCTGTAAAAATATTTCCAACGTCTTGGTTCTGACAGTGTTAACTTCTCTTTGTGGCATCCTCCAGTTGTGTGGACAAAAATGCCAGAAATCTTTGCAGTGTCCATTTTGGCTGGACTACAACTGTATTCGGAGATTTAGATCCCTTTAGATTGATGATTTTGTGAGAGAACTTGTTCCAATGTCTGGAAAATACCGGGTCATCCTAAAACACATAAGCAGAGTTTTGATACATCACACATTCTCAAGAGGCTTTTGGGAAGCTGACAAGGGAGGACCAAGCAATATCCTTTGTTGTTGTTTATCCTGTCTATAATTACTCTTCTGTGTCTCTCTTGGAGGCTAAATATAAGAGGAGCTATTACAGCCATGGTAGTTGTTTTTTGAGGGGTGGCCATGCTCACTCATGGCTATTGCTGCATGTTATGGCAATGAGCTGGAAAAAATTACACTGTGTGGATCCAGCTTTTCTTCCTTCATCTGTCCTAGACAGAACATTTTAAATGGAAAAGGCTGAGTGGCTTCAGCGGGGTCAACTGATTTCCAATTCTGAGGGCAAATGCACAAGTGAATGCACACACACCCTTCACAGCCCCGTTCTTCTTCATGGTTTCTTTGCCCTATATTCAAAAAGGCTCAGGTGCATCCAGTTCAAAGCATCAGGTAGCTGGGAATGAAAAGGATAAAAGAAGAAAATAGGATAAAAGAAGAAGAAGGGGGAAAAAAATGACTTTCTTGCCATTCTGGTTCTTCCTGGCAACAGAAGAGTTAAAACTTCCTCTTTTGCCACTTCTCTGATTTAAGCATCTTCCTGTTCACCTACCCCTCCCCCACCCCCCAATTTTGCAGCTGCTTGGCCAGCCTCCAGATTCCCAAGCATGGCTTTCCATCAAATATCCATCCTGCTATCTTAGGAGAGAGAGGTGAGGGGTGAGAGAGAGAGGATTTTTAGAAAACTGCAGCCAGCCAAAACTCATCAGAGGAGGAAGGAGGAGGAGGAGGAGGAACTGAATAGGAAGTGCCAACCTACTTATTAGAAACTGTCACCTTGAAAATCCACATCCCTGAGCATTGCTATTCACACCTAGCACCAGCTCAAAAGTTACAAATGATAATTAAACAGCCCAAAGTTAAAAAACACCGAGTTTTAACACTGAGTTCCCCACTCGGCCAATTTGTATGCAGCTAGTCCTCAAGTTACAACCATTCATTATTTAGGGACCATTCAAAGTTGAAACAGTACTGAAAACAGTGGCGT